CTCCAACCCTTCTCCTACACACAGCACCACAAAGTGGTGAAGTGGATTGCCCCCAGATGACTACCTAAGGCTCCACCCCCTACTGCACTAAGACATGGTATCTAAGCAGCTCTCCCTAATACACAGAAACAAACACAGGGAGGCTGCAAGTTGGAGAGACAAAGAAATATGGCACAAATGAAAGAACAGAACAAACACCCAGAAAAAAACTAAGTGAAATGGAGATAACCTACTTATCAGATGCAGAGTTCAAAACACTGGTGATAAGGATGCTCACAGAACTCAATGATTACAGCAAAAACATAAGGGAAGAAATGAAGGCTACCTAAGTGAAATAAAGAAAAACCCACAGGAAATCAACAGTGAAGGGAAGGATGCCAGGGTTCAAATCAACAATTTGGAACATAAGGAAGAAATAAACATTCAACCAGAACAGAATGAAGAAACAAGAATTTTTAAAAATGAGGACGGTATAAGGTAGACAACTCAGGGACATCTCCAAAAGTGCCAACATCCAAATCATAGGGATGCCAGAAGGAGAAGAAGAAGAGCAAGAAATTAAAAACTTATTTGAAAAAATAATGAAAGAAAACTTCCCTGATTGGTGAAAGAAATAGACATACAAGTCCAGGAAGCATAGGGAGTCCCAAACAAGTTGGATCCAAAGAGGACCACACCAAGACACATCTTAATTAAAATGACAAAGGTTAAAGATAAAGAGAGAATCTTAAAAACAGCAGAGAAGAGCAGAGAATTACCTACAAAGGAGTTTTAATAAGACTGTAAGCTGATTTCACAAAAGAAACTTTACAGACAAGAAGGGACTCGCAAGAAATATTCAAAATGATGAAAAGCAAGGGCCTACCACCTACATTACTCTATCCAGCAAAGCCATCATTTAGAATGGAAGGGCACATAAAGTGCTTCCCATACAAGGTAAAGCTAAAGGGATTCACCATCACCAAGCCATTATTATATGAAATGTTAAGAGACTTATTTAGGAAAAAGAACAAAACTATGAACATTAAAATGACAGCACTCACAACTATCAACAACTGAGCCAAAAAAAAGCTAAGCAAACAATTAGAACAGGAACAGAATCAGACATGGAAATCATTCAGAGGGTTATCAGTTGGGAAGGGGAGGGGGAAGAATTGGGGGAAAGGTACAGGGAATAAGAAGCATAATTGGTAGGTACAAAATAGATGGGGGGGGGTGTTAGGAATAGTACAGGAAATGGAGAAGCCAAAGAACTTACATGTATGACCCATGGGCATGAACTAATGGGGGAGGGGGGAATTGCTGGAGGGAAGGACATAAGGGGCAGGGGAGGGGAAAAGAGGAGAAAAATTGGGACAACTGTAATAGCATAATCAATAAAATGCGCTTTTTTAAAAAAGAAAAGCAAAAGAGCAGAACAGGGGGCACCAGTCTGTCTTTTCCTTCCCAACTTTTGACTTTGCTTGAAAGATTGTTACTCATACATACAAGTAGTTATTCAGCATACAAGTTGTTATTCATACATACAGTAGTTACTCATACATTACAGTAGTTATTCAGTAACTACTGTAAGTATAAGAAAAAAGCACTATTTTAAGTGCGGCAAAGGATATAAAGATTAAGGAGATACAAATCCTGCCTTCAGGGAGTTTACATTTGACCAACATAGATAAGGCAAATATTTAAATGCCTATAACCTAAGATGGAGGGCAGTAGGTACCATAAGAAAAATATAAATAAGGTACAAATTATTTTAAAGATGGGGAGTATTTTTCCAGGCTGGTGGATATCCACATTATAATTTCTAATTTAAAAAGAGAGATATAGAGAGAAAACTATCTATCTCTATAGTTGGAGAACCATCAGATGGTTTACTGCCCTCCTGCTTTTTTCTTTTTCCATCTACTTACATTTCTTCTTGGCAGGATAATGTAATGTTACCCTAGCTGAGCTGTGATGTTCTTCATGGCAGGGTATATCTTATTCTGTGTATCCCAAGTCCCTAACTGTTCCTGGTTCATAAAATGCATGGATAAATATCAATATTTTTTCAGTGGGTGTATATCACTGATAATCAAACTTGCTTCCTAATAACAAAAAGTCTGTTACATTACAACGCATATTCAACAAATAAACTGTGCACAATTAAAAAGTACAGCTTTCTAATCAAAAACATTTTGAAAGGATATTTTTCATAACTATATGCAATTTACACCATAAAGAAAGCCTATCTTAGAAAAAATCAAATCTGAGATCTACAAATCTGAATAAAAAGCATAAGCATTCTATCATTCTCCCAATTGTGACAATATGTTTTTATGATGTTTGAATGATAAGACCAGGACTTCAGTGAAAGTGAGTTATAAATAATTATATATATTTCCATTGCAAGTGAATAATAAATCATACATATCATACATAATCCTTTTTTATACATATTCACTGAAATTCTGAGTAGAAAATATTGTTCATATTTAGTACTAAATAATTGTCAGGGCTTTCAAGCATTGAATATTTTTTAATTTTATGATTATCCATGGGAAGGAATATCATAATTATAACCATCCTTATATGTATTTTTCCTTGAGTACTTGTAATAATGTCATTCATCTTAGAATGGAAACTCTTTGAGGTAGTACCTTTAAGTGAATTCAGCAAATGTAGGAAGCAGCTGCTGGGGTTTGGGTAAGAGTAGTAAATTTAATAAATTGCAGTAATTAGGATCTAACAGACAACTGAGAGATATATACAATCATTATAGGGTGATTAAACTGACGGAAGTTTGTCTCACATATCAAAAGTCTGGAAGCATGCAGCTGAAGACTTGTCGGCAGCTCCACATTGTAATCAGAGGCTCAGGTTCTTTTTTCTTCTCAAATGTTTCCATACTTACTGAGTGGGTTTTCATCCTCATGATTAAAAATTGCTACAGCACCTTCAGTATTTAGCCATGTTCCAAGTAGAAAGAAGGTAGAAGGGCAAAAGCTTTCTCTTCTTGGACCTTTATATCTTTATCGTTTTATTTGTAATGGGAAGCCTGCCCCAGGGACTTCTTCCTACATCTCACTGACCAGAACTGTATCATATGGACGCTCTTAGCTGCAAGGTGGCTGGTGAAGAAGGGAGCTGTGGGTAGAGGTTAGCATAGCCAATCAACAGTGTTTGCAGTTCCTCCTCTTCCATTTACCCTTTGGGCCACAGACCCTTAAGGTTCCCAAAAAGAAAAAAGGTCAAGTTATTTATGAATAAGGATATAGTGTTCTAAGAAGTATCTTTTTTGGTCATTAAAAGGTTACTTTTTAATTCAACAAATAATTATTTTTTTACTGCTTAATATGTGCCAGTGACTGTTCTAGGTATTGGGGATAACAACACTGAACAAAAAGATTAAAAGCTGCTGCTCTTATGGAACCTACATTATACTAAGAAGAAGAAAGCTACAAACACACGAATATAAATATATATTATATATTATAAGTATAGAGATACCAATATCCATATCCAGATACATGCACACATATATAAGAAACGAAAAGTAGGATAAGGAGAATAGAGAGTGATGGTAGGTGATATTCCATATAGGAAGTTTAACAAAGACCCTCTGATGACATGATATTTTAGCAGAGACCTAAAAGAAATGAGGGATAGATGGAACCATAATATCAAGGAAGAAAGGTCCAAGTAGAGAAAACAGCAAATACAAAGACCCGGACGAGAGGTGTATTGGGTATGCTCAAGGGCAAATAAGGAACTATAGAGACCGAGTACAGTGAACAAGGGGGAAATAATAAATGAGAACAGTGGGGACCATAATATCTTGGGCTTTGTAAGGTACAGCAAAGCTTTCACTCTTAGTGAAATGGAAAGTCAATGGAGAGAGTGAGTAGAGATGAGCACAATCCAATTTACAATTTAAAAGGATAACTGCTGTGTGGAAGATAAATTGTAGTGGACAAGGGTAGAAGCAGGGAGACCAGTAGGAGGCTATTCAGTTTCCTAGGAAATAAAGGATAGTTCCAGCTATTGCCATAGTGGTGGAGATGGCGAGTAATGATCAGAGTCTAGAAGTGTTTCAAAGGTAGTTTAGATATGATTCTGACAAGAAGAGAAAATCAAGAGTGTCTCCGAGGTCTTAGACCAATAACTGGAAAAGTGGAGTTGTATTTACTGTGATGGGAATTGCAAGAGAACAAGACATCGTGTGGGTAGGATAGGAGGGTGGAAAAATAAAGAGTTTGATTTGAACAGGTTACATTTGAATTGCGTGTTACATATCCAAGTGCATGTTAGATCATTTATAAGTTTGGAGATATATGTTCTTATCCACTCTTTGCAAAGCCTACAAATCTATAGTTGTGGGTAGAGGTTGGGATTAGAGATATAAAATGAGGAGTTTTAGTGAATGGGTGATATTAATTCCGTGGGACTAGATGAGGTTATGTCGGAAGTAGGTAAGTAGTAATCTGTTATGACTTTTTTCAGAAGAAAGATTTTCTGTGAAATCTTAAATAAGATCAACTTTGGGTATTGCATTTTACTAACTACCTCATTGAATGTTCAAGGTTTAGTATAGTGGTTAAGGACATGGACTCTGAAGCCAAGTTTTGAATTGTGGTTCTCCTGTTACCAGCTCTGTGATTTAGACCAAAAAATGTAATCTCTCTAAACCTCTCTTTCCTCATCTGTAAAAAAGGATAATCATGATCCTTCCTATAAGATCATTGTGAAGATTGAGTTACTAGAACAGTGCCATGACCCAAAAAGGATCAGACAGTATCATCATTGTTCCTCCAAGTTTTGACACATACTGTAAAACATCACTGACTTGATTTAATATTCCTCCAAAGCAAGCTATATTTTGGAAGCAAGAGAAAATTTCTCACCTTGTACTCTTCATTTGCAGATATAAGAAATTGAGAGTTGTTGATATTTATATGTCAGCCCCACTTTTTAATCAGTGTTTAAGCATCATATTCTTAGTTAATTATCTTCCTGTTTAGGTCACAGTGCTGTCGATATCACCAAGGTGGCTAGAAGACACCGCATGTCTCCTTTTCCTCTAACGTCTATGGACAAAGCCTTCATCACAGTCCTGGAGATGACTCCGGTGCTTGGGACAGAAATCATCAACTACCGAGGTACAATCACATTCGCCCATTGCCTTTTCTTTTCATTTTTTCCTCAAGTAAGATTCATAAACAATTAAAACCCGTTTCCCTGAAGACGACGGAAAGGTGTGTTCTCCCGTGATTTCAGTTTTTAATCAAACCCCACTTCCTTTAAAACTCAGCATAAAAGTTGTATTTAGTGCAATCTGAATAAAATATAGCTTCTTAATTATCTTTGTTATGCAGATAAAAACAACACAGAAGGATTGATTTTACATTTTAAAAGATTTTACTCATAGATCATAAAGTACTCTAACTTTAGTAAACATTACAGGGTATCTATACAAACACCCTAATTTTTCTGCAAAAAATCATACTCAGAACAGCAGAAAATGAATAGGACCAAGGCTCAAGACCTACATTCTTCTTTTTACTACATAAATAGTGCTCTCCTTCCAGTATGAAAATATAAAAATAAATGATAGATAACAAAACAAATTATGTTAAAATTAAAAGGCTTAAAACTAGTGAAATTTTAAATGTCAAATTCTAGCATTTTGTTCCCTGGCACTACTTAGACAAAAAGTTTTATATAGTTCACACTAATCCTATAATATGTATATCAGTAGGCTTAATTTTTTTTGTTGTTTTGTATTACTTCTCATTAAAGGAAATAAAGATTAGAAACTCGCTAAAGTGGAGAATTAGTCAAGAATTAACTATGTGATTTCAAAATCATTTTTAATGAATAGGGTTTTTCTATTATTAAACACAGGATATTCATATATTTTTATATCAGTCAACACCAAAACGTATTTAGAAAATATGAATGTAAAATTAAGTTGGAAAGAAATGTAAATAATATTTTACCTATTAGGAGCATAAGTTAACCACACCTGGCCTCTTGTAATTTCAGGGGGGGATTCTCTAACATCAGTCCTTAGAAAAATATCAGTGTGTGCCAAGTCACATTTAAATGAAAATTTTAGTCCTTTTAAGGAAAAAAAAAGAATTGCAAGTGGCCATTACTGTACTTCCTCTAGAAAAAAAAAAGCTTTCAGATGGGTTTTCTTTTCCCTTCATGTGCTTGTTTCCCCTTCATCTGTTCATCAGATCAACTGTCACTTACACATTAGCAAACTCTTCACAGACGGTTAAATTTCTTGTCCAGTGTTTCCACTCACGATTATGAAAAATAACAGTGAAGTTTGCATTCAATCTTTGAGTCTGATCAAACTCAATTTTTAATTCAAGAGTATTATAATTAAACCTCCTAGGCACTTTAGGTTAGTGGGTTGTTTTTTTTTAAGATTACACATTACATTGAATTTTATTTATTGTTTTATAGGTAACCCTAAATATTTTGACTTCAATGTTAATTTAACCTTAAATGTTTTTGTTATTTTATTTAAATTGTTGTTGCAGTACAATTTTCTATCTTTTACTCCCATCCCAACCCACCCACCCAACCCTCCCCTCCTCCCTCCCATTTCCACCCACCCCTAGTTTTTATCCATGTGTCCTTATACTAGTTCCTGTAAACCCTTCCTTTTCCCCTGGAATTCCCCTGAAATTCCCTCTCCTCTCCCCTCTGAACTCTGTCAGTCTGTTCTTTATTTCAGTGTCTTTGGTTATATTTTGCTTGTTTCTTTGTTTTGTTGTTTAGGTTCCTGTCAAAGGTGAGATCATATGGTATTTGTCTTTCACTGCCTGGCTTATTTCGCTTAGCATAATGCTTTCCAGTTGCATCCATGCTGTTGCAAAGGGTAGGAGCTCCTTCTTTCTTTCTGCTGCATAGAATTCCATTGTGTAATTCTATGCAGGTTAGTGTTTTTAAAACATCATATTTAGAAACATAATTCATTTTGTTCCAAAAATATTTATTAAATATCTACTAAATGTTAGGTGCTATGTTAAGTCCTGGATAGACAAAGATGAATAAAACAACACTTCTTGCCTCATGGACCTCACTGTGTAGTGCAGGAGAGTGACAGGTAAACTGTGTGATACCTTTCTCCTTCACAGGCTCTTGTAGACTTTCCTTCCTTTGTCCATTCCTTGAATATAAACTTTCTATGACATTTTTGGTTTTGGTTCTTTTCACATCTCGCACATGCACTTCGAATAACCTCATGCATGCCAGTGATTTCAAATACCACCTATTAAATGATTTCTAAATCTGTATCACTGCCCAGACCTTGCCTGAGCTCTAAACTAATACACCAAATGTATACACGCTGCTAGTAAATTGAACATAACCAGACTAAACTTACGTTGTTTACCTCTACAACACTTGCTGCTTCTCTGTCTTCTTGAATCCATCCCTCGTTTTCCATTCCCAAAGCTATCATTTTGGTTTAGGTCTTTATTATTAACTTCTGGGATTACTGTTCTGCTAAAGCAAGTGCCTAAATGTGTGTGTATGTATAAAATAATGTTTGTTCGTTTGTTTTCATATGTTTTGGCTATAGATGAATTTCTTATTATCTCTGGTCTGTCTTTTACCATTTCTATTATTTTCAGCTCCTATCTGCAAGCAAGGCCTTTAAGGAGCGAGTGCTCCACTGACTATAAATACCTTTCTTTGGTTTCTTGTGAGAGGCCTACCTGGCATAACAATGGATGATAGTATTTGCTTAAGACTACCATTTATGGTTCTTCTTCTCTGCTTGTAAACTCTGTTGGATGAATAAATTACAACTTCACATTTGGTACAGTGCTAGCTACAGTAAAGCAGATTTAAATATTCTGACATTATTTCCTGTAATTCCCAGTATGTTTCAGTTAACAAGGGAGAAACTATGAGCTTTCAGTAGAAAGGATTCTGCTCTCTTAGGGGCATTATTTTAGATTACAAGCACTAAGGCTTTCTTATTTAAGATTAAATGATCAGAGACTTCAGCATCTCTGACCTTGGTTCTTTGTTTTTCCAAAAAGGCTTAAGTAATTCTAGTCAAGAAACTTTTAAGCTTTGCTGTTGGAACTCATTTTGAAGGAGTGAAGTACAATATCTCTTTCAGAACCCTGACCACAGCAGAGGCATTTCTCCTGTCTCTGACTTACAGTGAGACAACTGCCTGAAGACAGGTGATTATCTTAAGCAGAAATTACTGCCCTCCAGAAGAAATTAGAAGCTCCCAATTTTAAATTGTAGGAGGTTCTCACCAAAATGGTTCACAAGTCATGCTAGGAATTCATTAACTCCTCACGAGGATTCAGGAGCTGTCAGAGAGTAATGAAAAGTTAAGTAAGGTGTACTGGAAGGAGCTTTGCCATCAAACATACTCTTTGCTTTACTTTTCTCTAGCTGAGAGACCTTGGGCAGCTACATAAGCTTTCTGAGTCTTACATCTCTCATACATAGAAATAACGTCTACCCAATAAGGTCAATGTGAGATGCTATTAAAGGAAATAATATATGTAAGTCATCTAGTTTTCACTAAGGTGCCATATTGAGAATTTAGCAAATGATTCCCTTCCCTTCTGCACATGGGGATTCTGAGAACATAGCCCTAAGATAAGCACCTATAAATTATGGAATCAAAGCTAGAACTCCTTAGCTCTGCTCCATTTGTTGATCCACATGAACAAACTCTGGAAACAGCATTTTGTTGTGGAATTTATATGTCACCCACCTAGGTCACCTAAACATCAATTTTACTGGTTTTCAGCTTATTTCTGGTTGAGCTTTACAAAATTGAAACAAAGAATTCAGATAGTTATTCAAATATTTCAAGTGAAAGCATGTATTTTTATTATCCAAATTACTGCCTCCAATTCTACCTTCAGTCTAGTAAGGTCATCACCTGGGATGATCCCATTTACTTGCAAATACCTCCTGGTACATTGGTCTGTGCTGGCATTTGCTGTATATTTTTCCATGAATGTGACTGCTTGAACTCATTCATGATTTTCTTCAGGTGGTCTCATCTCTTCAGACTCTTTACTCCATAAACTTTATTACAGCCCTAAAATATGCACATCTCATTAATCCCTTTATTTATAGCATATCCTTTTATTTATATCGTTTCCTTTATACTTATTCCTGCATTCCTCAAATATGAGCATTTTATTAAATCCCTCTATATATATTCATGGGATGTTTGTGTGTGTGTGTGTGTGTGTGTGTGTGTGTGTGTGTATCCACAACCTCTAGGCAATTATGCTACTGTTAATGTCCAAAGATGGTGATTATATTACCAACCTGTTCTCTGTATATATGCTTTCAGGTGCTTTCTCCCCAATATTGTGATTACCACATGCGCGCTATTATCACAGTACTCACCAAGCCCCCTTGTGTGGGGGCTGCATTTTTATAGTTGCATAATTGAGTAGCATTAACTCACTAGGATAGGAATCAGACCTGTAATGGCCTAGTTATCCCATGTTACAACCCGGTAGACTAATCTTCCTATTTCATACTTCCTTCCATGCATACCATTATATATCTTCATATGTGTGTTATCTCTATGTAAAACTAAAGCATGTTATAAATGTATCTCTCTTGAAGCAATTTTGATAGAAAATAATCAAACTTTAACTATAAGTAAGGAGGAAGTCATTTTTCATATGATTTTTTAAGTCAGTTTGCACAACTTTTATTCAGTATATTTAAGGCTAAAACAAAGTATAATTTTTAAATATGATTCTTAATGATTCTTAGTTTTTTGTTCTTTGGGGATACTTTTTCACATTTTAAATATACATCTTATTTGATATAGTTTATTTGGCAGTCTTTTCATTCAGTACCTATTTTGAGATACTGCCATCTATGTTAACAGTATTAGGTTAGGATTCAGAATATAAGCAATGGAAAAAATGTCTCAGTTAAAATGAAACAAAAATAGAAAATTTTGACAAAGGAATAGCATCAGAATACCCGACCCTGCAATGATCAAAATCTCAAAGAAGGAACTCAGATTTTTGGAAATTTCTGTTTATTCTTAATTATATTGGTAGAATTATGAAAATGTATGTAAATATACAAGATTTTCCAAGCTTTGGGGAGAAAATTAGTAGAAATGAAAAGA